AGAGAGAGAGAGAGAGAGAGAGAGAAAACGTTCGCGGCGCGCGAAAACACGTTCCGTTGACTCGGCAAACATTTCGTTCGCGGTCCTCTACCGATACCTCGCTGCCATGGATCCCGAAACCGCTTTCGCGTTTCCTCGGGAATCCTTTTTAGGGGAGGGGAGGAGAAAAAAAGCGAGCCTTTCCGTTCAGTAAAAGAGCACTTCGGTGGAGCTGGTGACTCGCTGTGTTCTCAGAAAACATCCATCGAGATACGTGGCTGCGTGTTCGCGTACGTTCGATCGAGCCAAAGTTATTTCTACGTTGTTCGTCTTAACGGATATTTTCTTATACGTTGGTCCACGTTGGCAGGAAGCTTTCAACATCGATAATCTGTCAACCTCGTGAGGGAAAATATCGCCGAAACAACAGCTCGAGAGTACGTACGAGATTTCGTATGGGCACGTATGGAATTTATGACGCGAGATATGAATTCGGGAGGGGGAGAGAGACGGAGAAAGAGAGAGAAAGAGAGATGGTCCGTTCGGTTTCGAACAATTTTCCGAGCGATTTCGTTTAGAATTTGCGATTCTACAACAGAGACCAGCTAGACGAGTTAAACGAATAGACCGTTCGACCGCGCGTAGATGTCAAAGTAGCCTTTGTGCAAGAACCTTGCCGTTGGTGAGATTATTAACTCGGAACACGGGGAAATATAGGTCAGAAGTTGACCGCAAAGTGATGAAACGGGTCGCGGACCAGGTGGATGGAACCGCAAAGCGGAGTTAGGCATGCCTTTCAGGCTTGCCTTTCTGTCTTCTCGAGTCTAGAAGTTTACCATGCGACGTAGTCTCTCTCAACTTACGTAATTTCTCCACGATTTTTCGTGGACCACGTCGGGGTCGGTAATGTTTCGTTCGAGAGATAAAACCTGCGGTACGCGGTGTAGGAGAACGTGATTCGATGTTTTTTTTCTCAACGGATCGGGCATCTTAATCCGAGACATCCGAAACTCGTGTTAGGGGAGGACATTAGGCATGCCTCCTGGAGGAACTTGGAGCGGGATTGAATTTCCCAAACGACGACGACAACGACATCGGATCGCGCTGGCGGGAGCAGATTCGATCGAAAGAAAGTCGCGCGCGGATTGTGTTCGGGATGTAACACCAGCGTGCCGAAAATGGTTCCGAACTTTGATTAAACGAGGTCGGAGGAGTGTACACGTTCGCGGGGAAATCCTCTCGCGTTACAAACTCTTTCTTCAGTCCTTAGTTTCTCGAATGAATTTCGGCCAGCGAATCGCATTTCCTTCGGAGCAACGAACCGAGACAAAGGCGGTCGAGTTGGTTGGTGTGCAGTTTTTCCTTTGTTTTCAATGCGGCGCGAGTCATTTAATGGACCGTATCCTTCTTCCCCTGTTTTCGTTTCCTAGAACGAAACGGAAGAGAC